TCACACAGTGAGCTTGTTTTTGCCCCGTTCTCCCGATGAACACACGTTTTTCACATCCAAATGCAAAGATTTCAGATAGGTTTCACTGCCATTTCTTTTTGACACAGGAAAGATCCGATCAAAATGGCAGAACTGAAACCATTTTTGCTTCTAATACACTCCAAGTATGAGATTTACCTTTTTAGAGCATTAAGCACGTGCATCTTGCTGATTTTATGTCTTTAACGTAAGTGTCTGAGCTGTTCATCGCTCGCTGTCAAGTAAACAGATGTGAGGTGTCGTCAATTCCAGCCATTCTTCATGGCTGTGATGGATCCAAACACAAGTCACCCAGTCACCAGCCCCTGCATAGTGATTCACTCCTTAGAGTTGTATGACTCAAAGCCCATTTCCCTGCCCCCTCATGTCCTCATCTTGCTCCCACTGTTCTCCATGGACTTGGACTTGCCATTTGACCCCCAGCCAACTTGGAGGCCGTTTCCCCAGAGGTCAGCTGCAGGCTTGTGTACAGAATCTTTGCATAGCAACGACTTGTGGACATGCAATCCAAAGTATACACATGCAAAAATGACGAAACAAACAGTTGTGGGAATAAACTGTTTCAAAGTTTCGAAAATCAAATGATTGGTTGCCATCTACTAATTAATCACCCAGGTATACTGGTGCAAGAGTGTCAGCTCTAGTGAGAATCAACGTGCAGATTATTTCCTTTGGAAAGTAAAGAATTGACTCTTTCATGAGGTGGCTGTCAATGAGCGACTGTAAAATTCCTTTAGTTTTGTCCAACAATTAAAAAAAAAAATCCACAAGTTGGCCAGTCCAAAAGTATCACACTGCACWTGAGTCCAAGTGGGTGGGATCTTTGTCTGGTGTTAAAGAGGACCAGATGATGGGCCGAAGGTGTTTTCAGTCACAGGGTTTCCGATAGCCTCATTTTCTGGGAAGACCAGAGGAGCTGCAGATGTTCGGCTTTGCTCTATTGCCACAAAGTTGTATTTATGTTTGTCTCAATTCACATGGAGCACTAACTGATGCCGATTACGCAAGACCRGCTCCACAGTGCGAATCTCTGTTGATTCTTATTTACTGATGAGGCGAGAAGTGCTTCCACTGTATTAAGTATAGTATTGAGAGTTTCCAGCAGGACGTAACACATCCCGAGGGGTCTGTGGAAAAACTTTCTTCCTTTTGAACATCAAACTTTTTTACTTTATTCTCAGTTTGTATGTGAACTAGAATGTTAGACTATAATAAGAGCTGTCACTGTAGCTGAATGAGAGGGAAAGTTTCGCTGGCCAGTTCGCAGAGGTATGGTGTCATCTGGGTCCAGAGGCCAAACACCACAGAACAGCACACAGAAAAGAAAGCCCACTTTCTTGATTTCCCACATGAACCGGAAAAGTCCCCCTGAATATTTTCAGTAGCTCACAGCAGACTGTGTGAAACTGTCCAACAAAAATAGAAAGACAAGTGATTCATCAGCTCTTCTACACTTTTTAAGATTTTTGATTAAACTTAAGATGCATCATATTTATTCATCTATCTATTATCTTCTGGTTATTTCAAGTCGGGTCATGCGGGCAGTAGCTTGAGCAGGGAGGCCCAGACCTCTCCTTCCCCAGCCACTTCTTCCAGCTCTTCTGGAAGGATTCCAACATTCCCAGGCTAAATGAGAGATRCTAGTCTCTCCATCGTGTCCTGGGTCTTCCCTGGGGTCTCCTCCCAGTTGGACATGCCCAAAGTACCTCCCAAGGGAGGCGTTTGGGAGGCATCCTCTCTTTCCCAGATAACTGAACTTCTCATTCCATCTCTAAGGGAGAGTCCAGCTACTCTGTGGAGAAAACTCATTTTGACTGTCTGTATCTGTGATCTCTTTCTTTCAGTCACTACCCAAAGTTCATGACCATAGATAAGGATAGAAATGTCGACCGACCAGTAAACAGAGAAAAACAGAGAAGCTACACTGATCCATCTCAATTTCATGCTCCATTCTTCCCTCACTCGTGAACGCAACCCCAAGATACCCGAACAACTCCGTTTGAGATAGAACCTCACACCTAACCCAGAGAGAACAATCCACCAAATTTATCTTTAGGAAAAAATAAATAAATCTTGCCCAAATCAAGGAATTTATCAAACTACAACAAAGCAGATGCCTTTCCCACAGTAGCTACTCCACCTGGAAAATTAAACAGGTGGATTGTAGGAGAGAAAAAAAACATTCTCTTACTACGAATTTAGGCTGCTTTTTCCAGGAGGCCCTGCGGATAAACATCCAGTGGGTTGAACTGACAGTTGGGCTTGAACAGATCCAGCTCTTCTCTCCAACACTTTGAGCACTTGGTCAAAACAAAAGGGACAGGAGATTCCATAGTGACTCCTCAAAATAAGCAGCATTCTGCATGGCACCTCCCTTTTTTCAGAGAAAAAAAAACAGACCTTCCTGTCTTTGCAGCCAGTGGAATGGGAAATCTAAACACTTTGGTTTAAACATTTAATGTTGGAATCCACTCATCTGTAATCAACAATTTAGACAAAAACAGAGACCCGCCTTTCTGTTTTCTATCTTTTCTTTTTTGTTGTGGTGCAGAAAAATGAAATGAAGTTGTACAAGTCAAACTTTCTGTTTTTATGCCTCAAAAATGTGTAATCCCTTAAGCATGTGTGAATGATGAATGGTCGTATCATCATCTGAGGATGGGCGGAAGGCTCACTCTGATGGGCATGAACTGAGTCCTTTAAGTGGACAATATAACCACTAAAGATGTCTGGAGTGYCTGTGTTTGCATAAGAAACCAGGCAGAACCTGGATTTTTGGTTGACACGTGGTTGACCGATACAGGCTTTGAATGAGAGCAGCAGATGTGATCCCATGTTGATGTGCACCACTAGGCCAGTTTAAAAYTTGAAGCAGCAATGGTGAAGGCACATAAATATTTATTAAAGAGCATWGTCACATTTAAAAAACATAACAAAATTAATCATCACATTTTTTTTCTTTTTGCATGGTTTAAAATAATATCTTAAAGGTTTATCCATTACTAAGGCCATGTTCCTAATCAGAATAGTATCGTGTCTGTTTCTAGATAAGAGCCAAGTATATAATTAAAAATGCCATTAAGTTTGTTTCCTCTAGAATTATCAACACAGTTCTTTTTATTTATTGTTTCCACTGTCTGATCTGTTCGCTAAAAAGATGAGACCTTATTTTAATGTTTGTTTTTAGTGAACAAGATATTTTTGAAAAGCGGATACACAGCTGAGTTTTTTAAGTTCACAGAAAGACTGTTTAAGATCTAATCTTCCTAGTTCTTTATTCTTACAGTTTTTTATTATTATTTGGCAACAATTGTGTCCATAAATGGGCAAAAGGGAAGTGATGTTACTGTGTAAAGATTTGGCAGCGGGTCTTCTGTGGAATCCCGGGTGAAACTGGTGATGACGGAAGCCAGCTGCTGACTCAGTGACTCATTTTTACCTCAGCAGGGAGGACAGAAGGAAACGGGAGGGCAGCAGCTCCCGCCCAGGCAAAGAAAACAGACACAGGCAGCTCCAGCAGGGAGAGCAGCCGACAAAACTCTCTACTAAACATTTTGATATGATTTGGAACATGTCCTCATAAAGCTGCRTTGTCTCTGAAAAAAACATAGAAAATCATGTATGACGTTTGGGTGCCTTTGATTTCCAGGTCTGTAGGTCGCAACAGCTGCTGTATCGTGGCTYCTGTTTTGTGGCTTTTGTAGTATGGCTGCTGTACATTGACTGCCCTATCATGACTGCTTTATCATGACTGCCGTAGTATGGCTCCTGTATCATGACTGCATAGCACTGGGTCAAATAAAAGAACTATGCTGCGTTCCAGTTGTCCTCGGAGGTCGTAGCTTCGAGCCTCCGAGTTCTRTTTTTCAACTGGAACGCCCCCTGAAGTCGTAGTTTYGAGTCGAGAGGTAGGCACATCCAAACCATACCCGAGCAACCCGAGCATGCATTACATCATCATTTCAGCATGGCTGCTGAGCGCATGAAACTCTTTACTTTTAYGTTTTTTAGCAGTTCTGTGTTGTTTATTTTACATTACATCAGACGTACTTGTAGTGCTTTATAGTGATAGTTAAAATATATGTTTTAACACTGTAYACTCAAAATACCTTGTAGAGCACTATTRTTGTAAGTTTTATTGTTGCAAGGCAAAATAATAGAAATGCTTTTTCCGATGTTTGAAACTGGAAMGCTATCRGATCGGAACTGACGTCAGTCYGGCTTCAGAATTTCGAGTTCCGATACAACTGGAACGCAGCACTAGATCTCCCATCAGTGCGACTAAAAAGAAAAACAAATTTACAAAACTGAAGCAATATGGCTTTTTGCAGAGGTCATTTCTTGTTCAACGTGAATGAAAGCGTTTGACAAAAAACATGAACTCTGGCACACTTCATTGCCACGCCACAAATTTGATACAGAAATTTTTTCTTTTTTTTTTTCAGAAAGATGACATCTGCCCCTGTTTTCCATCTGAAAGTCTCGAAAACATTTTTCAGATCTGATTGTACATTTCATCCTCGTGGAGTTCCTTCCAGATGTTCGGTTYGCTGTTCTAAAACTTTTAAATCAAGTCAGATCAGAAAATAGAGGTGGGGCGTGTGTTTTTGACAAATACAAAAGTCTTGACTCTAATTGCCAACCACAAACAGAATGAGGCTGATGACACACTTTGTTTTTGATTGAACTTTTCCCACTGCAAGGGTGAAGATCAATCAGAAACCTCCTGAATGCTCTTAATCAYCACCAGACGACACAATGAAGAATCTCTGCCATTCTGTAGCACGTCTTCCAAAGTGAAAATCTTATCACAACAAATCAATACAACCGGGCATAAAAGATCCTGTTGTTTTTACAGTGACAGATGCAAAAACAGATGTATATCTCCACACACAAAGCAACGCTCAAAAGAAAAAGGAAAGTTCACTGATTTGCTGCAATGAGACAGTAAGCATACATACCATTTCTCCCTGGGAGAATATGAAGATGAGTAATGACAGAAGACTTGACYTTTTATGGCAACCGTTGTCCGTTTTGCAGTGTGTCTTGCTGTGAGAGGCAACCACCGTCCAGGAGTCAGGAAAAGCAAGATTTAGTTACATAACAGACTTTGCAATCTCTACGTTTGTTTGCTGAAGTCTTAAGCGTTGAGCCGTGCGGGATTTGTCCATGGAGGTGGCTGGAATGTCTGGTATGAGTGGCGGTACCACCAACATGCAAACCTGAACAATCTGCTGATTGTTATCCAGAATAAAAAAGAACAAACTGGCTGTTATTGCTGTTCAAAGCCAATTATATGGGCTGTGTTCCTAATTTAAACAAGAAGACAAACACAGAAATGAAAATAAAAGACAGACARCAGCAAAAACAAAACAAAAAAAAGGTTTATGAGGACATGTCTATAGTTTGAGGATCTGAGTTGACTCACTGTAGTAATTCAAAGCAAACGTTTTCCATTCTTCTTGTAAGGTTGAATAGAACCATGTAAATCTTAATGATCCAATGAGGCTTTTACTGAAATCAAAATGAGTCAGAGTGCTTTTTAAATCAAGGAAAACACCCAGTTTTGATTAAATAGGATTTTCTGGGCTTGCTGGAATCACTCAGGTATAAAATGTAACCAAAGTGGAACAATATGTCCGCAGCAACAGAACCATTTGTCATTTAATAAAATCACACTGATTACAAACTGATTCATATATTTATTGCAAGATTTACTGTTTAGTACCATAGGAAGGAATGCATTTTCTGATTGCTTAATTATGTTTCTTATCACACAGCTGCAACAACTTATCCATAAAAGTACAGAGTTAAAGAATGATACACTCTTAGCAGTGCAAGTGGCCTCTGAGAGGCATGAGTAAACACAGTTGCTATGCAGCAAGTAAAACCCTCAAATAGAGTCATCTCAGGATACTTCCTGTATTCATGTTCACTGTAATTTGATTGTGTTTTTCGGCTTGTGTGTTATTTGAAATTTTTGCACGAGGCCAGTTAATAGTAAAACCACTGAAAGGACCACAATGTACTCTTGTATTTTATCTCTGTCTAGTTTGAGTGACTCCCTGTGGAAAACTCCATCCTGAACTGGCCCAGCAACACAAAATGTCACCCAATAAACAACCAAGACATGGAGAGTAAACATCAGATTGGGTCCAAGTCGGTGTGATGTATTTCACAACGGCATGTTTCTGTAAAAACATGCTTCAGCTTTTTATTGGACAAGTCAGTCTGGGAGAATTCATCAGAGGACACGTAAACGTTGGACGAAAAGGAGAGCGTAATCGACTTTCTGTCATTGATTTTTTTTATCAATTACTGGAAATGGGTCCGTTTGAACGTCATCATTTACTAAAACCTGCCTGCGACGGATCATCGAAATGTCCATAATGCTGCACAGCTGGAGTTTTAACAAGTTTGATATCTCTGAATCATGTTCTTGAAGTTTTTACCAACAAACAACTAAAGTGTGAAAAAACGTGAAAAACAACAGCATCAGGTTCGTGGAATATTATAACCTTTGCTGACTCTTAAAAGAAATGAGCTGAATGTGTTTTGTTTTCTAAAAAAGATTTCATTTTGAAATGCACATTTGCCCATTGGAAAGCGCACCATTACAGCTGATTATTCGACAGATTGACAAAGAATATAAATTATATGGTTGTGTTTTTATGGACTATTAGGTTACACTGGGTTCGATCAAGATTTTTTTTTGTTTCTGGTACCAATTAGACATTTAAGAAGGATCAGGTTGATACTAAATATCAAACCTGATATTTGCTAAATTTTGCATCTTGTTCCATGGATGTTCCGTTAACGGATGTTAACGGCAGCAGRGTGGCTCAGTGGTTAGCACCGACGCCCCACAGCAAGAAGGTCCTGGGTTTGATCCCCGGTTCGGACCTGGGGTCGTTCTGTGTGGAGCTTGCATGTTCTCCTCATGCTTGTGTGGGTTTTCTCCAGGTACTCCGGTTTCTCCCACCCCTAAAGACGTGTACAACARGATGCCTTCAGGCCCAGGCCTCCCTTGAAAAAGAGATCAGGACTTGCCTGGTTAAATAATGGTAAAGAAATGTGTTTCATAGCATTCACAGTCATTTTTTTTCTATGAGATTGTCTGTATTCATGACGTTACTCGTGAACAATATGAGGCTGATTAATAAATCCGCACTGCTTCATTTAATTTGGTATCAGTACATGTGACTGTTAAAGCATCTGCGGTCTCCATAGAGTGTTTGGTGCCAGTTGGTTGGTCTCTTGGTGAGTCTGTTCCTTCCGATGGCAAAAATGTGTTTGTCATTCTGGCACCTTTAATTTCCAGATGYGTAGCTACATCCCAGCAGGTGCCACAATAAATACTGTGGTGTGGGTGCTGTGACATTAAACCATAAAAGTATTAGATTAGGAGTGTAAAGTGAGGCATACTCAGATACCCATCAGTGAAAATATTTCTACCAGTACTCTGATTTGATGTTTGCACATCCCTAGTGGTTTGCACAAGTGAAAATATTGAAATGGTTAAACTTTCGAGAAGCTGACGCTGAGCCTGAGGCCACCTGTTTGTAAAACAAATTCAAAACTGATCAGAATCTATCTAATGCAATCCAGAAACTGTTCGCTCTAACCCAAAACAGGTTTACGCTTCCCAGAAATTACGCACGGTATCCTGGGGGGGATTTCCTTGTTTATTTGTTTGTTTTTGATAAAAATGAAAATTTATTGAMGCTCAGATGGAGTAAAGTTTTGCAACGTGGCACTTGGCACACGGTGTGAAGACACAAACGGTCCTACTCTGCCAGATTCCGAAATAAAGGCAGATAAATGTTACACCGCGCCGAAGAAAGAGACTTCATATCCCCCTCCAGCTGCGGCTGCTGTTACTGGCAGCACAGTTCTTCTCAGGAGGACTCCTGGCTGCAGTCTGAACGGTCCCTCCAGCTTAAGTTTGAGCCTGACTCTGAAAAATGACCAAGACGTGTTGTAATTCACTCCCACTCTCTGGTGGGTCCTCGAAGGCAGGCGGGACAGTGAACAGTATTTTTTTTCTTCCGTTTGTCTGGAAGCTGAAATTGTCACAAAATTGTTCCGTGTTTTTTCTGAAAAATTCAAAGAAAGCCCTCCTCAGATACATTGTGTTGGTAAAGCTGTGGAACATGTGCTTTAAACGCTCGCACGCATCGTTGACGTTGAGCCTGGTGAGAAACCTGAAGTGATAAATACAAYGTTTAAAAAAAGGTCTTGTTTAAATTTTTTATATGAAAAATGAATTAAAACAAGTCAGCTGTGTTTATGTGAAGCTCCTCTCATTCATAGCTGTGGTTYGCCGCAGCGTTCCTGCCACAGATACCGGTTTAGTCACGTTTACCACCTAAAACGAACAAGCAGCAGGAGCAGACAGACACCCAAATAATGACCCCATTTATCCACATGACTCTCATTCAGCCACCCGGGATATGCTGTAAAACTGAAGTTTATTTTTTATTATCTGAGTGGAAGAAGGGTCAGAATTATTGATCTCAAAGGGAAAGACAAAAACTGATCAGTGACTCATTAGGCTACAAAGCTTTTGTTCCCTGTTTGACKTAGTTTTTATTGATTTATGGAAATAAGAAATCTGTAATTACAGCTCTATGAAGGTGCAGCCATTGGRGAAAAGTAAATCCTGGTGGTACGATACGCCTTGACTTTAAAGACTTTAATTCCTGTTKTGTGGCACATTTAAAGAGCGTCTTAGTACACAAGCAGACAGTGAGATTGYTGCTATTTTTAGTCAAATGGAACMRATMTCCAAAATAGTTGTATTTAGACAACCTGTTTTAGTTTTTTATGTCCACAAATGTAAATAAATGTAAAAAATAATAATAAGATTGAGATAATACAAGAAAGCTGGAATCAGATTTTTTCAACCTATATAAGGAATTCTGTAGTACTCACTTCTTATTTTTACCTTTGTAACAAATATCAAAATGCATTATTCCAAACACCCTGTAAGTTATCAGATGGTATTAAAGTGAGTGAAAGGCCATGGTTTATTGTCTTGCTGGAAAGAGGTGCTTGGATTCCAAAAGGTGTTTCTTTCATTGCTTTGGCCGTCAAAGGTTCATATTTCACATTGACTGGTAACATGTGTGCCCTAGGGCATTTTTTTCTGCAAAAAAACATTTTTGTTTCATGAACCAAAAAAAAATATTGCAGATTTTCTAGGAAAATCACTGAAAGTCAGAGTACAAAACTTTAAATTGAAGAGCTATTACTCCTTTACTYGTGTTCCAATAAAAGACAAGATCTGTTATTACAACATTAGCTTCAGCAGCAACTAAATGTTTTATTTAGGACTATTGTGGACACTTAAATAAATGATTCTCCTTTTAATAGAAACACTGCTGGGATTGAGTCGCCATGTGGTTCTTTCCCAGTCAAAAAGCTTGTGTCGTAAAGCACAAAAACAAAAAGAGGAAGAAAAAAAAGAAAGAAGGAAGAGGATGTGCATTCACTGAGAGTTACCTAATAAAAAGGTTTTCCCAAGTCAAGGTGTGTCTGAGATCAACTTATACCTAAAAACAGTACATTTTGTTTAAAAGATAAATGGAAATTAATTTCCTGTTCCAACAAAACACCCACCTCCATAGAAACACGGGTTTATGTAACGTGTTGCTCCAGACATTTTAATTGCATCCACGTTCGAGTCCGTTCTTTATGTCTTCCCTCTGACTGCATGGAAGTGTCCCAAAGGTCTCTACATGATAAAATCCACTCYRGCTCAKGAGAAAAGCCKTGGAAAATCTCCTCGTAAAGGAGCGTAATTGAGCCTCCGYGGCTGTCTTATACTTACTACTCCTGTTGTGCCTGTTTACAATGAGGCCCTAATAAACAGGGGATAATTTGGATGCTGATGAGTGGAGCATTTTATCAAATTCAGACATGTTTATAGCTTTTTGTTCTCCAATTATTAGTGTAATGAACACCATCAGGGGGAGGAAAGGCCAAGCCACATGGCTGCTCATGCACATGCTGAACCCTTTGCTGTGATCGGGGTTGCAAAGTCACTGGATGTTTTTGAATCATGAACGGA